TCTGTCTGCACTCTGAGCTGGGTTCTAACACAAACCACTGCCCTGCCCACTCAGTAGCCACCCCACCCTCAGGGCCCTCGCAGGTAGTGAATGGGTGGGCAGAGACACCCTAGCAGCCATCAGTGCTTCTTCCTTCCTTTTTGAAGGATCTGATGCTGCTGCCGATGAGGGCTACTTCATCTATTAAACCCAATACACTTGTCGCAGCTGCTAAGCCCCCGTAAGCCGCCGGGCGCCGTGTTTGTGATGGGACTGACAGTGCATGGAGGAGGCTGATTATACACGATTCCATTTCGCGGGCCCAGCAATGTAATTTCACAGGGCGATCAGCGTTTGCATGTAATAGCAGGCTGTGCTGAGGTGTCAGAATATTAAAGGCGCTAATGGCAAAGCTCCCTGTTACACAGGGGGCCACCCGCCGCGCCTACAGCAGGGCTGCGCGGCAGGCCCGTCGCAGATGGCTGGCCACTAAGCTAATGGGGCAGCAGCCAAGGCGGGCAGAGCCGCGAGAGAGGAGAGCCAGCCGGGAGCAGCTCGGCACCTGCTTCCCCGCGCATGGAAATTACAGCAGCCCAGGGGAAGGGAAGTGTGTGTGCCTTCCTGGCACAGGGCTTTGATGTTGTGGTTTGGTAGACCCGGCATCTTTCACCCCAGCTCCACCTGCTTTGGATAGACTCAGGGGCTCCTCAGTCATCGTTCCATCTGCCCCACTCTTTGGCCAGGAAGCCACAGCTGGGCAGGTGCAGCTGGAGAAGTGGCACCCCAAGAATTTGGAACCAGTGTGGGAAAGGGACTTGGGCATAGGCTGTTGGTGAGAGCTCTTATGACACATTCCTGCCCCAGCAAAGTCAGAAAGCTTCTGGGTCCTTTACCTCCACACCCTGCAGGCTGGCAGGAAAGAGGGAGGAAGTGGGGATAGGATGCAGGCGGGACAAAGGGGATGGACAATAATTAGGCCCCTTGATTGATGCCAGTGTTGCCATTGGAACACAGAGCTGGGAAGCAGCACCTCAAGATATGGCTCTTTCTGTCCTTGTTGGCTGCCCCAGCCACACCCAAGCCCTTGCCTGTGCTCTCACCAAGCTTGCTCCTGCCATTCTCCTTTGTCCTTGCTGTGTCTCCCGCCTGGAATGTTGTTGTCAAACCTACCCCCCCCCCCCACCCGCGCTCCAGCCCTTCACTACCACTCTGTCCAGGAAGCTTTCCTAGCTGCCTCCAACCCCACACAGGCCTGCTTGTCTCCATTGTCCCTGTGGGCAACCACAGGGGACAGCCTCCCTGATCCTCCTATTCTAATGGTTCCCTAGGTCCCAGCCTTGACTTCTCAGCCAGAATCTCTGAGACACAGCCCATGTCACCTTGTTCTAAGCTGGGTTCCTGGGCAGGCTCTGTTCAGATTCATAGAGGGATGTAATCTCCCAGAGGATGTCTGGAAGGAGTCGGGAGTGGAAGGATGTGCCTAGTAACCTGAGGGGGAGTTTGGTGCCTGTATGGGTATGCACACTTGATGGTTATGTATCTGATGGGGAGGGACTTAAGAAGTGAGTGCTGGGGGTGGTGGGCATGTGCGTACAGACATGGAGGGCCAGCAGGTCTGAGGATCCAGACCACACGTTGGTAGGAACACAGATTGCTGTAGGATCTGTGTTCTCTGGGTGGCTCTGTCTGTTGTCTGTGGCTGAGGGGTACCTTAGATGTAGGAGCCGGAGGGAGCTTGTGGTGCTGTGCCTGTGGGGATTCCTTGAGGCTGGTGGTCACTTCTGAAGGTTCAGCTCTGCAGGGGTGTATGGTAGTGCCTGGGGGAGACATGCCAGGGTTCTCAGCAGGGGCAGCAGGGGGAGAGCCCAGGCTGAAGGAGAGCAGTTTTAATTAACCATTTTTAATATCATTTTGGACTTTGGCTGGTATGTGAAGGCCCCGCTGGAAGCAGCATTTGTAAAAATTAAATCCCTCTTATTAGGAGCTTGGCAGACCCATGTGCACGTGCTGCCCCCCTCCCCCCGCTCGTGCCCCCCTGAGGAAGAACTGGATGAGGCCATGTCACGGCAGCAATTGGTTATCATGCCTTATCTGGGAATAGGAAACTGTGCGCATGACACCCGCGGCCACGCTGGAGACGCCAATTCATCTCGCCCTCGCTCTGACAAGCTAGACTGCCCTTCCTGAAAGGCATCCGTCAGGCGGGACCGGGGCCTCTGCCTTGCCTGCTGCCTCTGTTTTCCTGCCTGGGCTCCAGCTTGCCCTGGTCCAGCCAGGCCCAGCCCGGCCCTCCTGGGCTCTGCCACCCACCGCCCCCCTTCCACATGTCCCAGTCTAGGGAAGATCTTGGGGAGTCATAATTATAATAATAATCTAATCACGGTGACGCGTCAGGGCAAGCGTCTAATGTTATCTGAAGTGGTCTTCCCGCTTAGCTGCGATAAGACTCGGGATGACGTGCAGATAACGTTGAGCTGCCCTGTCCCCAAGCCGTGAGCAGAGCAGAGGGGCCTCAGCAGCCCGCTGCCCGCCCGCCGCTTTAAGCCGGGAAGCGGCAGCACCTGCTAATGCAAGTGTTTAATATTTGATGGGCTGGGATAAAGCAGGATCACCTTCGAATTGAATTGAGTGTCAGCCGAGAATCTATTACTGAAATTCGGGTGTGATTTGACAGCAAAGTAGACGATGTTATTCTTCACTAGTTACTGCAATCTTCTCCCCGACATCACTTAAATATTTTTTTCTTTGCTTGAGTAAACACACATTATCCTTCTTTTTTCCCCCTTCCTTCCCTTTTTCCTTTTTAGAGGGGAAAAAAACCCATCCAGCTCGCCTTCTCCAGGCTGATAGGGTAGATTGTTATTTCTTTATTTGTCCTATTAAATGGAATTTCTGATCGTTTAATCCGGCCTTTGTAAGTGATTTTAAAGTACTTGAAAGCCGGCCCGCCACTGCTCTCTGGCCCACTGCGCTCCAGCCATGGCCCTGACCACGCTCAGCAGCTCTTCCAGCTGTGCACCACCCACTGGCTGCTTTCCCTCGCTTCTGCCTGCGTTCCCCCGGCTCTGCCCTGGCTCCAAGCCAGCGTTCTCTCCCCTGTCCTTGTGCCTCACACTCAGCCCCCGATTTGTGGGTTCAGCTGTGGCGTGGGAAAACGTGGGAGGGTTGACTGGGAAGTTGAGTTGTGGCTGGTACCTCCATGTCAAGGAAAATGGCTTCGGGAGGGTGCTGAGGTTGAAGCACCCACAGGGCTGAAGCTTGATTCCTGCAGCTGAGAAGGAAAGGTACCTGCCCTCTGCCCAGCCCCTTGGCCTTAGCACCGACTCTGTCCAGCCTGCTGACCCCGTGTTGGACCTTCCTCACCATGAGGGAGTCTGTGATGGGATGGGGCCCTCTGGGCCCAGGGATGGGTGGGCACACTACAGTGCCTGTCTGACCGTGGCTGCCGTCACCTTAGTTCCATTCCACCAGTGGCCCCACCACCTAGCTTCTGGGAACTCAACCAAGCTACGTTCCCAATGACCACATCCCATTTGCTTTCTTCCCCTGGGAGGAGGGCAGTCTAGGGTTCCAGGACTTCAAAGGTGAGGGATGGGAAATGTTTGAAGGACCATCCAGCTATACAGCTCTCTGATAGAAGCCCAGGACTTTGCTTCCCATCAGAGACTCCCAACCCCCAGTGGGTACCCCCTTGTTGGGCTGAGCAGGAATTAAATTCCCACTGGGTCACTTAATAACATTCTAACCCTTGTAAGTCTCTTCTTTCTGGGCCTCAGTTTCCTCATCTGTGCTATCGAGTCAGTTGTGCCTGTAAGGGGCTGTGAGAAAAAGTGCCATCCCTGTCCTACCATGTACCACCCCCCACCACGGAGGTTGGTGCGGCCAGGTGGCGCAGAGTAGGGGACGGAGGGGGGCAATGAAGTGCTAGGGGCCTGAGCAGATCGATGCCCCCAGCACTTCCTTCCCCAACCCCAGGAAAACAATTAAGTACAGATCGATGGGTGGCCGCTTTGAATATGCATAAGTGAGCACTTGACCTTCAGCAGAGATCTGTTCCCCCAACCACACACAGTCTCTCTCTCTCTCTCTCTCTCTCTCTCTCTCTCTCTCTCTCTGTCTCACACACACACACTCTCTCTCTCTCTCTCTCTCTCTCTCTCTCTCTCTCTCTCTTCATATGTTCCCATCACAGCTGCTTGAGACCTTACCCCTCCTCAGTTGAGCCCACACATGGAACCTAGCCTTCCATAATCTGGCCTGCCTCTCAGTCTAAAGTAATTAGACCATGGGCAGGTGGTTGGCCCCCTCTCACTTCAGTGTTGTTCCTATCTGTAGAGTGAAGTTTAGATATGTTAGTCTCCTAGGTCCTTTCTGACACCAGGCTTTATGACCAGCAATACTGTGGGGAGGGGCCCAGCAGAGTGCTGGGTAGTCTGGAAAGGCAGAATCTAATAGGGCTGCCTGGTGAAGGGGGTGCCCTGTTGACAGGATGGTCCTGATAAATTTTTTTCTTTAACGTTTTTTTTTTTTTTTTTGAAGGAGAGAGAGAGACAGAGAGTGAGCGGGGGAGGAGCAGACAGAGAGGGAGACACAGAATTTGAAGCAGGCTCCAGGCTCTAAGCTGTCAGCACAGAGCCCGATGTGGGGCTCGAACTCACAAACTGTGAGATCATGACCTGAGCTGAAGTCAGACACTTAACCGACTGAGCCACCCAGGTGCCCCAGGATGGTCCTGATAAAGGAGGGTCTTAGTAAATGGGAGCTGTCTAGAGGAGCCTGGCAAGGGGGCACCCAGTGGGGGTTGGGAGTCTCTGATGGGAGATACCTAGGACAAAAGGAGCTCTGAAAGAAGAAGGGGTTTTCTGGTGGGGGTCCTGGAGGAAAGGGGCCTCCATGAGGGGACTCTCATGAAGTGACATGATGAGAGTAAGCCCTTAGTGGGACGATTTGGCTGGAGGGTGGAGGTGGTAAGTATTGGGGACCAGGGCCTCTGTTAACCATTCTTGCCTCCTGTCTTCCAGGCTTACAGCTTCGCCATGGGCTGCTGGCCCAAGAATGGACTTCTAGACATGAACAAGGGCCTCAGCCTGCAACACATAGGCCGGCCCCACAGCGGCATTGGTCAGTCCCTCCACATATACCCCTGGCAGCTCAGTCAGTCTCGTGCCCGCATGCCCCAGTCCCTTGGCACACAGAGGGGTCCTTTGGCTCATTCTGTGCTCTAATGGGGTGCTTTCCATAGCTGGGGGGAGTGGGGAAGGAGGGTGGAGTGAGGGGAGAGTGGAACCAGACCATTGGAAAAAATCTCTCAAAACACTATTTAGGAGGAGACTGGGATCTGGTCTTTGGGTGGGTCACAGGTGTCCTTGGATTCAGGCCGAGATATCCCTGACCCCTCCTGCATCTCTGGTGGGTGATGTCCTCAGAGGGGTGGGCACATGTCAGCTTACCCACCCCCCATGGAGCTAGAGGAGACTGTTTAATATTGTTTCAAGTCTGTGGCTACTAAACTGGGCGATCAATGGGAGTTAAGGAGATGAATTATTTAAACCTCACCAGCTTTTAATTAGTCGGGGTCCTTCTGACCGATGGCTCCGTCCACAGGGTATTGACTCCCCCGCAGGAGCAGCAGCCTCCATTGAGCGCTGCCTGGGTTGGGAGGGGCCACTTGGGGTACCAAGCGTGTGTGCACCCTCAGAGGGATTCCTGCCTGGGAAGGAGCTGGAGTGACTCTGGTTCTAGGCATTGGAGGCTCTGCTTCTGATATATCAGCATGGGTTTGGTGTGT